CTGGACACTCTTTCCTTTGGGAGTTGGGGGGGCGGGGTCTACATCGAGGTCACAAAAGGCCAGCAGCTTCTGCCTGGTTTTCTTGGGTTGCTCCTTCTCCAGAGCCCCCCTCTGGGGTGTCCCCACCCAGATCCCCATGCTGGAAAACGCCCCAACCACATGGATAAGCCAAAGGTGCTTGGGGGACAGTCTGGCTCAGCCTGTCCTTCATCCAGAACAGCCCAGGTACCAAGGGGAGAGGCCACCATTGAAGTGGACCCTCCAGGCCCTACTGGTCCAGCCTCCAGCTGGAGGAAGGGAGTCACCCCAGACCTGAGGGAGCAGAGAAGGCCCCCCAGGTACCTGTCCATTTTCCGGACTCACCAAATCCACGAACATGGTAAAACAGCTGGGGCTTTGCTGCTGAATTAGGGCTGACTTCTTTTGTATGTGTGTATGTGTGTGTGCGTGTGTGCGTGTGTGTGTGTGTGTGTGTGTATTGGTTGTAGTTGGACACAACACCTTTATTTTATTTATTTATTTTTATGTGGTGCTGAGGATCTATCCCAGCGCCTCACATGTGATAGGCAAACACTCTACCACTGAGCCACGACCCCAGCCCTTAGGGGTGATTTCTTATGCAGCATTAGGAACAGAAGCAAGATCCCCAAGAACAGAGGGACTGACACCTTGCTCAGAGAGGGCACGAGGTATTTAGCCAGCGACTGGAGGCAAACACAGAAATGGATGAGAGCCCCTGGATTTTGAGCAGAGAATGGCTAAACGCCTGTAGCAATGCCAGCTACACAATCTGCTAAGCTCAGGGCAACAGGAGCATCACGGGACCCTTGCTCAGAAAGACTAAGGATTCCAGACGGCAACGGCAGAACAGGAAATCAAGGTCAGGGTTCTCCTAATCCAGTCCCCTGGGCAACTGCACAGGAGCCATGCAGGCAGCATCTATTGTCCCCTCCCTCTGGAGAATCTCTGTTCTCCCCTGGATCCTTCTCTGGGTTCTGCTCCTTGAGGCCAAAGGCCCTGTGTTGGACTCCAGACTAGAACCCAGCCTGCATGTGGATGAGTGCACCGAGTCTAAGGGAGTCGGAGCCGAAGGCAGGGCGTCTGGAAACCCAGAGAGCCAGGATTTAAGAGCCAGTACACTCGATCTGCACAGACCCCTGAATAAGATGGAACAGACATTCTTGGATAAGAATCACAACAACGACAATAACAGTACTAGCAATCACATCTGCCATTTATCCAGAGCCTTAGAATACACTAAGTGCTTTAAACGCCCCATCTCTCTTAATCATGGGGTATCGTTATTATAATTCCCACAGCAAGCTTTGGGACTGGGGCCAGGAAGCAGCTCAGCACCTACACAGGGTCTCAGGGACGGCAGATAAGAGCCAGGATTTGAACCCGCGTCTCTCTGCTTGCAAAGCCTTGCTCCTGGCAGTGGCTGAGGCTGCCACGAGGTCTTTGTGATGTGGCAGAGCTACGAATCCTTCTGCTGTGGAGCAGCAGGACAGGCAGGACCCGGGCGAGTCCTGGGGAGCAGCCCTGATGCTGCTCAGGGAACTGGCCTCCAGATAACCCGGGCCTAAGTCCACTGCCTGGACCCAGCAGCATAGTGGGGGGTGCCCCCAGAGCCCTCCTGCTGGACGTGCCCCCAGTCACTGCTGGGAGTGAGGCCTTGTGGCCAGACAGCTGACTCAAGAGGCTGCTGGTGTGCAGTCCTCCCTCTGAATGTAACTGAGCAGGACTGAAGCTGGCCTCCACCAAGGCCAGCCTGGGACAGTGACATCGACCACCCTGTCCTTGTGGCAGAGACCCAGAAGGAGATGCTGTGGAGCCAGGAAACACTGCGGTAGCACCTGGCCCAGTCATCTCGCGGGCGTTTCAGAGGCTCAGTGACTTGTCCTGGTCATGTGCTGCCCAGGGCAGGGCCAGGGATCCCAGGGTGGTGTCCCTGCCAGGGCTGGTGCTCTAGGAAGGCTCAGCCTGGAGGTCTGGTGGCGGCTGACATTTCCAGTCCAGCCATTTCCTATCTCTGGGGCCCTGAGCAAGGCACTTAACTTCCCCGAGCCTCAGTTTCCTCATCTGTAAGAGAGAATGTCGGCGGCCTCTACTCAACAGGACGGAAGTGACATACAAAGTGTGCGGCTGGCCGTAGAGACCCAGTGGAGGCCCAGAGGGAGAAGTGCACAGTTGATGGAGCTGTCCTCAGAGGTCACCCTGCCACCCCCTGCCCGGGAGCCGTGTCCCGGCACCAGGTATGGAAGGAGCTGGGGGTACGTTCCAGTCCACCCTCTTGCTGCACAGGGGAGGTGCTTAGGAGAGAAGTGGCAAGCACAGCTGGACTCAAGGTCACGACTTTGAACTTGCCGTCCTTGAACTTGCTCTTTTCCCACTCTTTCCCCTCCCCCAGTAGAGTCACACCTTGTTATGACCAAGGGCTTCAGGGGTCTCAGAACCTGGGCTGGGGAGGTCCAGGGAGCAGGGAGGTGCAGCTCCTCCACCCTGCGGGGATGCCCAGGCTGGCGGTGACGGCCACCCCTCCGACACCACCTGGCCCAGCACAGGTGACCTGCCACAGAGGCAGGGCCATGCCAGGTGGGGGCTGGGGAGGACCCTTGCAGCAGGCTCTGCTCCAGCCTTCAGTGCAAATTAATCCATCTTCCTTTTCTTCATAATTTTTTTCCGGCCACAACTGCCCATGAAACATTTAAATAACATCCAGAAAAGGTCAGGGAAGAGGAATTTCACAGTCCCTGCACAGGCGGCCACAGCCTCGGCCCCTCCTGTGGCAAAGGAGGAGGGAGATGAGGCCGACCCCGTGGAAGCAGAGGGGGAGGTGGCCAGGAAACGGGCTACCTGCTAGGAGCACTGGAGGCCCCTCGGGAGGCTGGGAGGTGAGGGTGGGTGGGGGGTCACCTGTGGTGCCTCCTCTCCTCTCTACAGCAACGTCATGCCCCTTCTACAGGTGGGGAAACGAAGGCTCCTAGTGTGTGTGCATAGATCAGCACGCAGCGAAGGTGGGACAGCAGAGCCCACAGTCCTATCATCAGAGGACGAATGGCCCCTTATATCGTCACTTTCTCATAACCCTTGGGGTTGGGGAATAAGGAGAGGCAGGCAGAGCTTGTGTGAAGGAAGCCAGGAACCAGAGACTGGTGTCACCTGGCAGCCCCAAGCGGAGCTCACCTGCTAGGCACGGAGGGGACCAAATGCCCCGAGGGCCAGCCCTGTCTGCAGCAGGCTCAGGACCTGCTCCAGCTCTGGATGTAACCAGGTGTGAGGGGCTTGGCTCACGTCCACCAGGGCCACTCCTCAGGGCCAGGACTGGACCCAACACACCTGTCTTTGGTGCCACCCGTCAAGGCACGTGCCTTCTCACGCTTCAGCCTCAGCCCTGCCCCGTGGGTTTCCCCAGCCCATCCCAGGCCTGGAACCCGGCCCCCCAAACAACGACTCCATCCCCAGCAAGAATCCCAGGAAGGAATCCTGGACGCGCTCCAAGCCTGGATCCCACACCAGGACACCTGGCCACAGGCTCCTGACCTACGGGGGGCGGCCTCTGCCCCTGGCCAGGCCCCCTGCACACAGGCTGCTCGGTGCCCTTCCCCCTGACATTGGAGGGTGGACAGGAGGCCACAGACACTTCCTTTAGGGTCCAGGGGTCCAAGAGAATGGAGCCTCTGGTGCTTGCTCTCAGGCCATCCTGAAAGGCCAGAGGATGGTCCGGGGGTCTCGGGCACAGGTGACGTTCTGCTGAGGACATGGGTGAAAACAGAGGGAGGCACAGGCTGGGGAAGCAGGGGGGAAAGAGCAGCCGCAGCAGACACACTGTTTACATCTGCCGGCCTGACTAGCCAAACATCTGTTTGAAATATTAATAACTGTCAGATGGGAAGGGCCGGGGGCTCAGCGCGGTTTCCTACCATCTGTCTGCAGAGTAAACACACTTCAGACCGCGGGGAGTGGGGCGGCTGGCAATGTCAGCTCCCAGCGAGAAACAGCAGCAAGGACTGTGGGGGGCCTCAGGTGGCTGGGAAGGGGGCTGCAGCGAGGTAAGCGCCTTGACATTCCCTGAGTACCTACTATGGGCACGACCCTGAGTTGTGTCGCAATATCTACCTCTCTGATGTGCTCAGCATCCAAACCCGTTTCTTTTAATAATAGACACCCCTTCTCCGTTTTCAGCCCATATCATCAGGAACCCCAGCCCCTAGCTCCACTAGGGGGAGTACGACCCATCCCTGGCGTTTCAGAATCCGGAGGATTGTTGCCAAAAGCCCACAAACGAAGAATCAATTCTGGGATTTGGGCTGGAATTACTGGAAAAAGAAGTTTCTCCCCACGAGGATTGATGAACCCGTAAGAGCTGAACCTGCAGGTGCTGGTGCCCAACTCAGCCAATACAAAAGCAGAAGCTGGCACTGAAGACAGGCTCCTGCTCAATTGAGTGCCTGGATGCAGCCATGCCTGAAATCACTTATACCCTCAAGTTACGTGAGCCAATCTTTTTTTTTTTTTTTTTGCTTGAACACTTAAGGGTTTCTTCACCTTGCAACCAAGAGCATTAACTGATATAAATGACACTGAGGTGCCCCTTATTAAAGGGCCAGTCCCAGACAAGAGCAACCAGAGATACCCAGGTACTTAGAAGGACCCCTCTGTGCTCAGACAGGGGAGGCTGCCCTCCTTAGAGAGGCACTTGTTCCCCCCATCAGAGGGGGCTCCTGAGGTTCCCCCCGAGCACCCAGAACTAGTCCCTCTTAGGGGAAAGCAAGGAAGCCAAAGGATCCCTGGCCCGATCTCTAGCTGCTCCAGGCTGGTCCCTTTCCCTTGCTGCAGCCCTGGCCAAGGGAGCCCCATTGTGGAGGGTCCAGGCCCCTCCATTCACAGCCCTGGGCAGTTGGGGGCATCTGCTTCCCTGAGTGCCCAGGTCCTCGGGAGTACCTCTAGCTGCCTCCATGGCCTGTCATAGGAACTCAGTGGCCCCGCAGGGGACTCACCAGGACTGTCAGCACAGAGGTCCCCACGGTGACATTCTCGTACAGGCTGACATTGTACAGTGGCTGGCTGAAGATGGGCCGGTTGTCATTCTCGTTGATGAGGGTGATCTTCACCTTGGCGTAGCCCACGTGGTCGGGCACACTCTCATTGGCGAAGAGCTGGGGAGCAGAGCGCGGCTGGTAAGCTCCCAGATGTTCTCAGAACTCTTGCCCCTCCCACCCCTACTAAAAGGCCCCCCGGTTTCTTGGCTGGTGCCAGCACTGGCTGAAGTCACTGCCCACCACCTGTGTGCTGCTATAAGGCCCTCCGTCATTGTCACAGGGGTGGCCACCGATTCTGCTCTGGGGGAGGGGCGGGGGGCTGGGCAGAGAGGAGGTGGCCCACAGAGACTCTTGGGGGCATGCTTTGGAGGCTGCAGGGGGGCCTGAGGAAACCCCACCCAATGTCCAGACACGGGCTTGTCCTCCTTGCTAAGAGGAGGCTCACTCCAGCGCTGCCTCTCAGTGGGCTCCTGGGTCTGAGCCCCAGGGAAGGTGGGGGAGGTGGGAGGTGGGATTTAAAGGGGTAATGGTATCCCTCTACCATGTCTCCCCTGAAGACCCCCCACTGGGCCCGAGGAGGTGGCCTTACATCAAAGTCGTAGCGGTCCACAGTCTCGTAGTCGAGGGGGATGGCCACCCGGATGCGGATGTCCGCCTTCCCTTGGACCGAGGTGGGGGAGATGATGAAGTGGTGGGAGTTGTTCCCCACCAGGTACACCTCGAACATGCTGTTCAGGCCCTGGGGCGGGAGTGGACAAGAGCTAGTCAGAAGTTCAGAGAGGACACAGGCCAAGGCCCAGAGCCGGAGTACAGGTGCAGAGGGCCTGGGGGGCCAGCTGAGCCGGACAGGGCTGGCCTGCCCCACCCACAGAGGTTCTGGTCTCCCCAGGTGACGCTGGCGCAGCTCCTGGACTCCACCTCCTGCCCCTGTCTGGGCCTCAGGGAGTCTCCTCTGGCCCCTCTGTCCAGTGCCCTCAGGGTCCCTTCCCCGGGCTTGGGTTCCTATTCCTGTTCCCTTTCTCTGCCCCAGAGACCCCCAACTCGGGGGAAAGAGGCCCGCAAGGAACGGAGGGAAAAGAGAAGAGAGCAGAGGGGTGGAGGGAAGAGGAGCCATGACAGGCTGGGACAGGAGAGGACAGGAGGGACAAGGCAGCCCGCAGCTTCTCCTATGGGATGTGTCCATCAGGGAAAACCCCCGTTTGCTTACCGATGACAGGGAGGTGACCCAGAGCCTGGGTGGCAGAGTGCACCACCACGTGCCCCATGCAGTGGCCAGCCCTAGAGGGCACCATCTCGGACTGGGTGAATGCAGCCACACCCACAAGGCTCTGCTGTGTCCAGCAGCCCAAGTCCATCACTTTGGGGATGCACTGGGTGCCTCACTTGCTCAGGGTTTCTGGAAGTTCTAAGTAGAGCTACAGCTCAAAAAACCCTCATATGAGCCAGGTGCTGTAGACCATGCCTCTAATCCCAGCAGCTCGGGAGGCTGAGGCAGGAGGATTGCAAGTTTAAAGCCAGCCTCAGCAACTCAGCAAGGCCCTGAGCAGCTCAGCAAGACCCTGCCTCTAAATAAAATACAAGAAGGGCTGGGGACGTGGCTCAGTGGTTAAGCACCCCTGGGTTCAATCCTGGTGCCCCCCCCACAAAAAAAATCCCCATCTGATACCTGATTTATTCTAACGCAAAACTGTTGGGATGTGACATCTCCATGTTACTCAAGTCCCCAGCTTAGGAGGAAAAGCCACTGCTGAGGGTGAGCCATGTGGCCTACCAACCCCCCGGAGCCTGGCTGCTCACAGAAAGAGATGCATGTGCTTTCTCCTGCCTCCCTGGGGGAGATCACCCCAAACTCCCCTCCCTGGGTGGGGGCTGAGGTACAGCCAGTCAGGAGCCTCCACCTGGCCCTTGGTGCTGGTGCCAGTGGATCCCTCACCCGGGCTCCCTTGCCAGGGGTTTGACCTCTCATTTCTCCTGTTGACCTCCCTCCCCAGCCCAGTGTGGCCAAGGGCGCATGGCCCCTCTTCTTGGGAACCCAGGGGATGCAGAGGGGCTCTCCTGGTGAGAGGGGCAGCCAGGCACGCCGGCCTCGGAAGCCTTCCCATGCAAGGCTGGTCCCTCCCATTCAGGGCAGGGAGATGGGACAGGGTATGACAGCCTCCAGGAGCCAGAGAGTGCAAGATTCGGAGCCCCAGAGCTGCTCCACGGGCTCAGTGCTTTTGGGGAACAAAACATGTTGCTATCCACCCCGGGTCTCTTGAGTTCTTTCCATTCTACCAACCTGGCAACACAAGGCCAGGGACAGGAGCCCAGGGGCGGGAGGAGCCCAAGAGCAGGCCGTTGCTGGCACAGGTGTTTTGAGTGGGAGGCGGGAGCTGATCCTGGCGTCCAGGCAGTAGCGGGGCCTCCAGAGTCCCCAGCCCAGGGTGGCTCCCTGGGGACCGTGGGGCTACGCTCCTCTGGGCCTATTGGGTGGCAGAATTTTCATATCTCTCTGATGTGGCATCCATCTGGTCAGGGGGAGGGGACAATTAAATCCCTGAAGGGGCACTGATAGCCAAAAGCCATGGAGTGTGACCACTCTAGGCAGGTGACACAGCACTTCTCCCTCCCTGAACCTTGGCCCCTTGACCATGTGGGGTGGGCACAGTCTGTGCATAAAGAAACGTCCCCTGGTGCAGTGGGTGGCCCACCAGGACCCCCAGCCCAGCCCTGCCAAGGAGACTCACTTACCAAGTTCTGTCAGGGGGAGTCGGTCAGTCAGGGGCATGGAGACAGGAAGAAGGAGCCGGAGAGGAGCCCAAGGGTGTAGAGAGGAAGGAACCAGAGAAAAGAGATGGTGAATCTTGGGTGAAGGCGAGGGGCCAAGAGGACCCCAGGGCACACCCAGCTCCCCAGGAGCTGCCTCCCGGGGCCTCGGTGGGCCACAGATTTGGGGTCCCCAGGAGGGGTACACTGGGGAGAGGAGCAGAGGAGGGTCAAGGGTGGACCCAGGAGGAGGGGACAGGGCAGGAAGGATGTTGAGGTCAGAGGAGGCTGATCTCTGCCCCATCCATTGTCCCCTCGGTCCTGCTCCCATGAGCCTGGATAAAGCCCCTGCAGGAAGCAGCCCCAGACCCAGCCATATTTTTATTTTCTTAGCATAAAAAATGTCAGAGACATGATAAGCAGGGACATGGGAAATCTCTCAATAACTCAAAAGTGCGAGGAGCACACACTTTGTGTCTCCCTCCCACCTTGCCCCTTGAAAGCCTTCTCCAGCAGTGACCACCAGACCAGAAAATCCACCCTGTGAGAAGCACCATCTACAGACAGTGGCAGAGACCCAAGCTGTCCCCACCCAGACACAGTCGCACACTGTACACTCTGGGTCCAAGTTTTTCATTTAAAACTACGTCTTGGTGACTGCTCCCTAACTAGGAACAGCACTGCTGACAAGGACAGCGGCCACCTAAGCACACACGTATTGCCCACCTACTGCCAGGCCCCGACCAAACACTTTAAAAGTACCAGATATTGCCAGGTACAGTGGTGCACTCCTGTAATCCCAGCAACTACTGAGGCTGAGGCAGGAGGATTGCAAGTTCAAAGCTAGCGTTGGCAATTCAGTGAGGTCCTAAGCAACTTAGTGAGACCCTGTCTCAAAATGAAAAATTAAAAGGGCTGGGGATGTGGTTCAGTGGTTAAGCACCCCAGGTTCCATTCCCAGTAACCCTCCCTCCCCAAATACCAAAGAACCAAAGATCTGCCTCATTTCTCTTAATGGCTGCAAAGTGCTTCTCTCACATGTTCAGTCCCCTCTGTGGTTATTCTTGAATGACAGGAACCCCTTGAGGCCATATATCACGCTTCATACAGTGTAAATCCACCTTAGACCCTGGCACACAGTAGGTGCTCAGGGATTGGGTTTCAGCAACTCTTGGGCTGCCCTGGGTGATCCTCTTCCTAAGGGCCCCTCCTGTGGAAATTAAGTTCAGAGAAGTTGTCCAAGGTGGGCACAGGGGATTGGTTGCAAAGTGGGGGATCAGGGCCCAGGCCCAGATGCCAGGCCTGAGTACTCTGCAACAAATATATTACTGTTTGCAGAGGGCCCAGGTAGGGAAACTTGAGAGATCGTAGGACAGAGGGAGGCTTGGTGGCCTGATGTGGGCATTCTCCTGTGCAGTGGGGGTGCGTGGCGTGGGATGCACGATCAGGCAGTCAGCAATATTAGTCACCAGGACAAATGGAGGTAGGAAAACAGCACTCCAGGCCAAATTGTAGTGGAGGCTGCCCAGAACTGAACTGGTCTTAGGAAGAAAGGAAAATGCTTTTTTTTTTTTTTTTAACTTTTAAACTAACAGAAAAGGGATTCCAGATGGAGGAAGTGGCTTTAAACACGGAATCCTCAGGCCTCAGTGGGTCTTGCAGGTGCAACGTGCTGAGGATTTGAGCACTGTATACAGGAGCAGCCGGGAGCTACGCTACCCTCTGGAGCAGGGGAATACTGGGGCACACGGGTGACCTTGGCAGCCACGTGTGAGTCACATCGGGGCCGCCCTCCTCACTCTCTTCAGGCAATTCTGATGTGAATTCATCTAAAAAGAGAGCCACTGGTCAGACTCTCCCAGGGTGGGGCCTGCTGGCTGCACTTTGGGGCGCTCCCCAGGGAGCCGTGTCACACAGCCAGGGCTGGGAAGACCTCAGTGCAGCAGAGGAACACTGAGCCACCATTGCGGGTGGGAGAGGCCAGCAGGGCAGAGGCACAGAGAGGTCACCCCAGGAAACCAGGCTGAGGAGAGGTGGACACCAGGCCTGAGGGTTCTGCACCGAAGTTCAGGTTGTTCACTGAGACCTGCATGGGAGGAGAAGAGGGCCAGGGCAGAGAGTGTCCTCCAGGTGTGGCACTGGAACAGGACAACAGTGCCACTGGGTGCTGGTTAGAAATGCAGATTTGGGGGCCAAACCCAGGTCTACTGAAATTCTGGGGTGGGGCCCAGCGGTCTGTTGAGAGGCGCCTCCAGGAGGCCCCATGTGTGACAGCCCCTGGGGTGGCCACTGAGGAACATCCACCTTGAGGTGTGGCCCTGGAATCACATGGGGGGCGGGGCTGTCTGATCACTGAGGTCATTGAAGAGTCGCCTGGTGGACAGAATGGGCCCAGTGCAGGCCCAGGTGAAGCCCCTGGTGTAAGTGCTTTGGTGAGGCAGGGGCCCCAGAGGGGAGAGCCCTGGCCCCTTTGGGAGCTCTGTAGGTCTGGGAGCTAGGCCTTCTCCCTCCTCCCTGATCTGTTCCAGGGACTAGAATTTCACTCAGGCCTGACACAGCAGTTGTGTGGACCCCATGTGCTGCTGTCCTGAGATCCCCAGGGTCCCCTTCTGGGTGACCCTTTAAATGCTCAACCTGCCCCTTTTAGAACATGAACAGTGGATGATTTCCTGCTGGGACTGGTGACTGTCAGCCCCTGTGGCAGGGGTGTGTGACAGGGAGATACTCTCGGGCTGAGTTGGTGCAAATCCCCTATAACAGAGCCCTGGGCTGGGCGACTTATCTGTCACCCCCCACTCTGCCACACAGAGACAGAATCCTCACCTGGCCTGGTGGCATCCGCATCCTTCCACCCCTTTTAGGAGAAGGAAGCTGGGGCCAGGGAGAGGACCCTCAAGCCTCCTGCCTGAATCTCACACATCGGTGAGCAAGGCCCAGGGGTGGGGCCCAGCCAAGCTTAGGGAGCTGAGGCCAAGCTCCCAGCAGAGAGAGCATCCCTCCTCCCAGCCCTGCCCGGCCTCCTCCGTGCCCTTGTCCTGCCATTTACAGAGGGGGGCTGCCGACCTGGGGTGGGAGGCAGGGGGTGCTCTTGGAGCTCTTGAGGGGCAATTTTATTGGAAAGGGAGATAAAGAGGACATCAAAAGGAGCCCCAGTGTGTGTGGAGAGGAGCCTGCTGGATTAAATTCTCCTCCAGCTGGGCGAGGTGATGAGAAGGCTGATTGGCGGCCGCCGCGG